CATTGTCGTGGAGAAGAACACTTTTCCGATTGAAGGGCATTTCTGATGAAGGGCTTGATTTAATCGTTGCAGTTGCTGACTATAGATCTCTGCATTAACAATTTGCTGTGGATTTAGGAGTTTGAAATGAATTACTCCTTTGATGTCCCACCAAATGCAAAGCATCACTTTCTATGGATGGAGTCCAGGTTTTGGGGTCAGAAGTGGTTTTTGTCTAGGACTGAGCCATTTTTTTTTGGTGTTTAATATTCTAATTGCTAATTGGTAAACGACCATGCCTAGAAGACTGAACAGCAGTCTCCATCACAAAGTACACCTGTACCTTGCTTTTTGATCCTGCATTCACTGTCTGATAAATCTTTAGGGCAAATGTCTCCCTTTTTTATTCAGAAAAAGTCAGTTAAGAAGCTCCGTTCTGGAGACATCTTAGTAGAAACTTCCACAGCTAAGCACAGTGAACTTCTCTTGAATTCAAAGGCCATTGGGGATATACCCATTGAGGTTACTCCCCACGCTTCCTTGAACTCCTCACGAGGAGTTATTGTTGAGAGGGACTTGAAGTCTACCCCCAAGTTGGAGATCTTTGCTGGTTTCTCCAGCCAAGGAGTTTTAGCAGTTCGAAGGATCTCCATTCATCAAGATGGAATTATGGTGCCGACCTCAGTTTTGATTTTGACATTTTCATCACCACGTCCACCTGCCACCATTAAGGCAGGTTATTTGAACTGTAAGGTATGGCCTTATATTCCCAACCCTCTCCGATGTTTTCAGTGTCAGCGGTTCGGTCAATCAAAGACATCTTGTCATGGTTCTGTGACGTGTGCTCGTTGTGGTGGCAAGGACCATGACTCCTACGAGTGCAAAATGGACCCTCACTGTGTTAATTGTAGTGGTTCCCACCCCTATTACTTTAAGTCTTGCCCTAAGTGGGTGGAGGAGAAACAGGTACAGTGTTTGAGAACTCTTAATAACATCTCTTATCCTGAGGCATGGAAGCTATTGTTCCCTACTACATCTCAGGACATATGCCTCTGCACTACGCTCCACTGCTACAGTGGGAGTGCAGACGGACCTTTCCGTGCGTCCATCTGAGTCTTTTTCACGCCATGTGCGGGGTCTTCTGCCCTCCATGGATAATAAAGTGGATCAGTCTACATCTACTCCAATCTCTGTCCCCACTGTTCCTTCCAGTGACTGCCTGGGTTAACCTCCTCGGGTGTCTTATTCAGCTCTCCATTTCAGTCTGAACCCCCACCCTATATTTCATTCCCTTGAGGGTCTCTCTCATTTTGTGAGTGCACAGACTCAGTATGCTTCTTTGTGTTTGTGACTTGGAGCTTTTGATACCAGGGCTTTCTTGTATTCTTAATGTCCTGTTTGAGTTTTTTTGGTGACTTTCTTCTTTCATTCATCTTTGATGAGCCCATACATGTCCCTTTCAGTGGTTTTTGAGTTGACAGTGCAGGTATCTTCAGAGATGTGCTATCTTTTCAAACTCTTACGATCGTGGTAGCTCACACAATCCCACACAAATCTGGACTGCCTTCTAGGGCTTCGAAATCAATATGTGGACTTTTTCCACTTACATATATAGGTTTCTATATCCATGGTGAGTGTAGCACAGATGGTACGTAGTCTTGGCTTTGTGCTTGATGCCAACCAGTCCTACAGCCACAATTCTCAATTACCTCTTTTCTGGTAGACTGCAGTTATGGATGCCTGATCCATTTCTGACTTTGGTATCCAAAAGCAAAGTTGCTCCTGTCTCTGTGTCCTCAAGATGTGGCTTCTTGCAGGTTGCCATCATGTTCTATCTTGTCTGTCTGGTCTTCTTACCATGATCCATTCAGATACCACAGTTTTTCTTTCTTTTCTCAACAGGGAGAAACTTGCTTCCAGAACCTCTATTTTCATGGTTTTGGAATTTCGTTTTTGGACTTCTTGGATATTGATCTATCATGTTTCTCAAGCTCAGGTCCTGGTGGTGGATCAACCTTCACTTCTAGACCTGGACCCTTCCCACAGAATGGTTTTTCCAACCTCTAGGTGTTTTCAGAGGATTTGCTCCCTCTGTGGGCTTCCTGTCACCACTGCCTTTCCACCTCAACTCCACTACACTTATTAGGTATTCATCCCTATACTCTATAGGCAATCACTGTATCCTGTATGAAGTCTTGCAGATGGGGATGTTGATGACTCCTGACACATTAGTGACCCATTACATATATCACAGGGAGATTTTACTTACCCTATCTTTTGCCTTTCTCTGGTTGCCACTCTCCACAGTGGCTCTAATGATGAGTTGTTTGTTTTTCTCCTTTCTTTTTCAGGTCTCATAATCATTTTATTCAACATATGGAACCCACCAAGTAGCCATTGTTGCCTTACAGGGAATTCTTAACCAAAATCTACATTGAATGGGGGAGTATGGAAAGTGTTAAGCTCATCTGTCCCTGCTCAGTTCTCACAGTTAGGATGGGATTTTCCACAAGAATGCTTCAGCAGAGCCTATATATATATATATTATATCCTTCAGGCTGTTCTGCATTTGACAAAAAAAAAAAGACAGCACCATGTGTGTACCTGCCTCACTCCTGGCTCATGCCTTCTGTCTTTTGTTGCAGTAACCCACTGTAATTTCTCCCAGTGTGGGACCTAATTACAGATGATTGTGCCTGATGACAAAGGTTCATGCACCTTTCTGATGTTTTCTCCCATGCAAATCCCCCCACTTGTTCTAATGTATTATGGGAGAACCATTGCTTCACCAGTCTCAAGCTGCAAGGAAAGTTGATATAGAGAGTTCCTCATCAGGTGTTACGGTGCCACGCACTTGTACAAGACTGAGTAGACACACACCCCTCATTTGAGAAGTAGGGCTTAGGTGTTACCTGCTAGTGCAATATAGAACATTCCACTGCATTATGGATCAAGCCATTCCTGGTGGTTAGATCCAGCTAGATGGGTCTTGGGTTTGCCTCAAGACACAGGTGTAGGATGCTACTTACTGCACATAAGTTTTTTCCAATATGGAATGCTCTTACTTATAGCACTAGTCACACTACACACCTATGCTCAGCTGTCCATCTGTGAGATAATTGACTGTTGAGTGATCTGCCATTCCACCCATCTTAACAATATACTAGTACCCAGTTATTTTAATAAGAATTTTATGATCTACTGCCTCTATTAGGCAAAAGTGTTCCCTGCTTCAGATGGATGTGGTTTCCCACCAAGTGCTGCCTCATAGTGATTGTCACACTTCATGGGCTTTCCCTTCCTGATGCTATTTTCAGAAAGGAGCTTATCCTTGTAATTTCTCTGCACTGGTCCTTCCACTGTTTTCAGTGTGGAATTCTAGTTTTTTTGTAGTGCAGAAAGGTGAGTAGCATTTCTGAATTTAACATTTTCCTTACCTAAAAATGCATTTCAGATAGATACTTACCTTTCTACACCACCTCTCATCCTTCCTCCCCACATCTGGTACATCTAATTTGCCTTGTTAAGAATGAACCTATGCTAGTGCTTATGGGGATTACTGTGCATGGAGGATGTATTGCCCTTCTATTGGCAGAGGGCTATAGCTTTAATTACAATTACATCATAGACTGGTGCAATACACCTTGACATGTGTAGGGGTGGGAGCTTTTTTCAAGGCTTGTGGCATGTGTAGGAATTTACATGGCAGTGCACACAAGGTACTAGCTCTTTGTGGTCCAGAGAGGTGAGTATCTGACTAAAATACATTTTCAAATAAGGAAAATGTTAATTTTGAAGACAAAGTAGTCACAACACCAACATAACACCTGCTTAAATAGGGTTTAGAAATGATAAAGGAGAAACAACAAGCTATTAGCTAAAATAGCCTATGTATTTGCATTGCTAGTATTTCTTACATTTTTGAGTAAGTCAGTTTACCGAGAATTTTCAAATATTTTATACATATGTGTTTCTAGCTGAGTGTGTAATTTTATTAATAGAATATTTGTCAAAAATGTGGCTAAATTCCTTTTGTTTTAACTGCTTATTGTTTTGGTTCATTTCTCTGTGATGTCATGTTTGCTTTATCATGGGAAGGATTGCTGTAAAGCAGGATACACTATTTAAAAACGAAAAGTGATCTTTTCCATTGATGTGTCAGGTGATACTTAGAGGTTATAATCTCCTGTATTTTTATATTGAAATAACTATCAGTGTACGTTTCTCAGTCTGGATGGTACAAATAATAGACTTAGTTAACAAATAAGTAAAATTCAACAGTTTATAGTTTGTGTATAGCAAAAACTTGAGAGAACAAGTTAAGAGATAGCTTTAGATCTCTGTCAAAGGTGTTATTTTTTTCTAGTACACTTGTTTTTTAAATATTGAATAAAGATTAATTTCACTTTGTTTACACTGTGTTCAGTCTCATTCTTGCTGAAACTCAGTCAAAGTAAGAACTCAGATTTACTATGATCAAACTATTTCATGATCAAACCCACTATTATCTGCAGATACAACCTAAAAGGTAAATCACTGTACCTGAGAATACCACACCTAGGTGTATAGCAATATAAATTTGATCCAAAACATCTTAGGTGTAAAAAAAAGGTGTGGCCAAAAAAGGATTCAACGTGCGACTTAAAGGAATGAAGTCAAAATTAGCAGCCAAACTGGTAGCTACATTTATAGCATTGATAAGAATTTTACAGTAAATATTAATTTTTTTGTTCAACTTGGGGCACATTGGTGGGTAAAACAAAATACGAGGTCTAGCTAACTAACTAATGAATATTTGCTGTAAAATTCTTATCAATGCTATAAGTGTAGCTACCAGTTTGGCTGCCAATTTTGACTTCATTCCTTTAAGTTGCACAATCAATTATTTTTTTTTTTGGCCTCACCTTTTTTTTTTCCCACTTAATGTGTTTTTGATTAGATATGATGATTTTTTGTCAATACACACCAACAAACCACACCAAATAAGAAAGTGACGCTTTATAGTAACCAACATTAGCCTTAGAATCAAAACCCTATTATTTGGAACAGATCTTTACTTTAAAGAACCAAGTAGATTCTTTAAAAGATATGGTGGTATTTTTTCTCTCTAAAGCAGTGTTAATAACTTCCTTTATAGTAACACCATTGAATTTAGATTAACAATTTCTTGTCATCCCCCCCATGCAATTGGAACAGCTGTATCAAGCATCATTAGTTATGCTAATTGCTTAAGCTAATATCACATGACACTAAATGATCTTTAGTTAGGATAATTTCATAAAATTTAGTACATTTGTGCTTAGAAGTTAGTAATCAATAATAATCATCCACTCATATGATTCTTTTGAAAACTTGAGCTAGAAATTGCTAATCTAGTTTGCTTGTTCTAACCAATACTTATGTATCTGCACGTCCTTTCACCTTAGAGTTTTGCTGCTCTATATCAGCCATCTTTAATCCGATTGAAAAAAAACTAAAAACTGTCCACTTTTACTCTTCGGTGAAGCTGTAGTAAAAATGTTAGACTGATAGCTCATGTGACTCTTTGCATATGTGTATGCAAAATGTTTCATCAAATTTGAGCAATTTTTTGTTGAATAACTTTGCACATGTAGCTTATATTTGCACCAAATGAGACTCCTAATTGTAGGCTAAAAATATCTATCAGTGTACCAAATTTGAAAAAATCCATAAAAGTTGAGTATATTTTTCTATCAAATAAAGTTTCCATACTTTTGGTGCAAAGAAAAAAAATAGGAAGAAACTTAATCAAAATTGGAGATGTTATATCTCAGGTATTTCTTAATGGATTGCCTTGAAAATTGTTATGTGAAGTAAGAGTCGAGTAGAGCACATTAACTGAAAATATGTGATAGTTTGGATCACCACATTCCAAGATACAGAAGGTGGAAAATTGCTAAACTATCACTTCTGTTAATAACACACTGTGTGTCCTGCAGCAGGTTGTTTTGGCTGCACAACACACTACCGTGTGTCTTGATGGGTAAAATTGCTAAATTTTTAAACAGAATGGGTTGTGTTAAGTACATACTTCTGAAATCTTTACTGATGTAAGACATTTATTGCTACTTTTAGATTATTTTAATAACTATTTTATTTAGAGAGAAAATACTACCAGCCAGCCTATTTTTCCCTACCATGTTTAGCATTTTCAGTTCAGTATTCTTTTAAGATGAGAAATCTATGACCTGTTAAATTATTCTGTATTTCATGAGAGACTCCCTTTTTTATTGTTTTTCTTAATCTGCAGCTTGCATTTACAAATCAAACAATGTATAAGTGTGGCTGACCACTGGCAAAGCTGTATGTCTGCAGATATATAATACTAAGAACTGGGTTTTGGTATCCATTATGGGCACAGCACAGATAGCCCATTTTGTAGCTTTATGCTCTACTATAAACAAAGAGTGTGAGAATATATATTCGTTTGTTGTTAAGTGCAAAAGAAGAAAAAGGTCTATTTTAAAAATCTAATGTTGATGGGTTTGGTTTGTAAAGTTTTTTTCTTTTTATTTCTTTAGGAATCTTGTAATTCATATGCTGAGTTCAGAAGCTGTTGTGTCATTCGATGCCAAGAATTTGATTTCTTGTTTGGTTAGTAAATTGAAGATAGAATACAAAACAGGTACAGTAATGGTAATTATATCTAAAAATTGAGTTGGGCATCATAATGAACTCACTTTTCTCTGATAAATGCCTTATTTTTCACAGTTTGTGTTTATTTAATTCTTATTATTATTCAAAGTTTATTTTTAATCATAATTCTTTTATTGAACTAAACAGACTGGTCATGAAAAATTTTATGTTACAGAAATTTCCATTACTTAAATTAGTTGAAAATTATTTTAAACAGTTTTCCTAAATAACTCTGCAAGGATTTAATTTATATTAATCTCATATGAAATCAAAGTAAATAAAATGAACATTAGAAAAAAATGTATTATAATGTTATTTCTATAAAATCCTGTTGTGAATATATAGAAGCACAAATTTCAAGCATAAAGAACATAATTTAATGCTTCTCATAATAGCGTATGTTACAAATACAGTCATTATTAAAGTTTTGAAAGCTATTGATGATAATACTAATGGTAAAGTTTATGTAAATAACATGGTAATTTACATTAGGTCATTATGTATATGTGTGTATGTATGTGCATGTATCCATGTCTGTTTATTTTGAATCTTATGATAGTTATTAAGCAGTGGTGTGTGCATGATATCAAGATTGCAGCTTGGCTGCTAAATCCTGAAAAAGTCCCAGAAACCCTTGCTGATGTTAAACAAATTTTTCCATTAGACCAAGTGACTGTGAGTTAATTTTTTTTGTTCTTTGCAATAAATGTATTTTTGCATTAGTACTATAACAGCATGCCTCAGTCAGTAAATACAAATATGTAGTATTTTTGTTAAAGAAATATAACTGCCAAAAGAAATATGTAACTCATAAACTTTGAATTTTTATGTCTTTTCCCCATAATGAAGGATACATATTTTCTTTGTTCCTTTCTTTGTCTTTCCAGTAGCTACAATTGTGTGACACTTTTTTATTCCTGGGCTGATAACTTTGAAACTCAGAGGACATATACTTTGATCCATTGTTATATCCAGACACTTAGTTTTTCATTTTAGTTCTTCATTCTGATTTTAGGGGTCAAAAGTAAAAAGAATTACAATGTATATAATAGGGAACTCTGAACTCAGAGACATTGTCAGCACATGTAAACATTACAAGGAGCTGTTATAAATGATGTTTTGATTTATGCAGTGCTCGAAATTGCATATACTGTGTTCAAAATTATGTCTTATTTGCCCAAAGATTACCTGTAAAGTATTTGTCATCTTGAAGAAATCTGTTTACACTATCCAGCCTTAATTTTAAAGTGCTAAACTAAAGAAAAGGCAGCTAATCAATATCACCCATAACCAACTCTTGGGCTACTCTTGTCAGATCAAATAGTGGAATTTGACCATAATAATGCACCCACAGCATCTTAATACAGAGTGCAGTTTTTTATTTTCTGGTGGTAACAAAATGTGAACCATGCAACCTCTTATTCAATATGATCCTCAGAATGCATTAAATTTCAAGAGAGAATGAAATTTAAGAAATGAAAAAGAAAGCATAAACTAAAACTTATATATAGTTCAGAAGAATAAACACTTAACACAGTATCAACTTGTGACTTCTTTGTGAGAAAGATTTATGGAAATGTATTAAATTATGACTTTATAATATATAGGATAGTAAGTTTCTGTGCAGATGGCTCTCATGTAGCTTTCCACAGAATTCAAGAAACAAAATTTGTCACTTCAGATTGGGGGTGTGGCCTAGTGGATTCAAGGGTCCATGATTGTGTCACTTTACCACACAAAAGAAAATCATAATCTGCATTTTATGGTCATGAATGCATTATAAGAGTGATGGTCAAGAGTTGGAGGTGGGTGCTATTGACTATATCCCTGTAGTCTGTTAGTTCAAAATTAAGGATGAATGGTGCAGATAGTTCTTGCATATCTTTGCATGAATATCCACAATAAACCAGTCTTTCACTTTCATGCTTTCTGCTGTTATTTCTACAGTTTGCATTAGATACTTTTGTGAGATTTTATGTATTGAATTGATTTATTAATGTATTTGTTATGTAATTTTTTATTAACATTTTATAATAATTGAGTACAGTTTTATATTATATCCTTACACATACTCTGCTATTCTGTGATTGCAAGCATTATTTGGTGTTTATTTAGGGGCTGTAATAATAATAATTAATTTATATAAGCTAGTATGTTACTTCAGACTAGCTTAAATCTGAGATAAATGGCTATGACATGAGATACTATTCAGCAGTACTGTTGGATAGCAGGATGCTATCGATAGTAAAACAAATGCCTGATGCTTGTGTAGGTAAATTGTACGATGAAATCAAATACTTAATACTCTAATGAAAATAACTGAGGTAAATGCAATAAAAAAGAGAAAGAAGTTACTACACATTCTATGATCTGTGTCTATACACAACTAATTTGACTTTGAAGATGTACTTATCTCTCACATACATGATCAGTTTACAGAGTGGGAAGCTGGAAGTAATAAATAAAGATAGACCATAGGATCTCATTGAAATTTAAAAGCAGTAATATGATACAAGGAGGGTCACAGTAATAATAAGACTTAAACAAACAAGTAACAATAATGGGAAATATTACAATTCAAGTAGTTGACAGAAACTAATGAACTAAACTAATAACCTAATGCTGTATTATATAGAGTTAACAATAACTAGCAAGGGGCTAAAATAATTAGAGGTAAAATTAACTGTGATCACCATACCAAAGTTGTTCATCAGTTTCTTAAAACATATGATACAAAGTTACATTGTAGAATAAGTTAATTTGGTGTTCAAATTATGGTAGAAGAAATCTTATCTGTGTAATATGAGAGTGACTTTATGATCTATGTCCATCAAATCGTATCTTGAATGAAGTCTACTATATGTAGTAAGTTGTGAGTAGTAAATGTTGTAGCATAACTTATTTGGAGTATTTATAGTTGAAAATGAAAAAATTATTGATTTCAAAATTAAAATTGTCTATTATATTGCAAAATTTGAATTCAGTTGTTTGATTAACAATGCTTATATCTAAGTCCAAGTAATGTGCTGTGCTTTTAGTGAAAGATCTGTCTTCCAGAGTGAGTTCTGGTGGATAAATATTATTGGCAATATCAAGAAAACCTTGATAATTTAAGGACAATAAAGGACCTGTTGGTCCATATAGGCTGACCCATCTATTACACTAAACTCTAGAATAAAACTAAAATACTCAAAGCCAACCTTCATCATTCAAATATTTTATTAAACCTTTCTTAAAAAAACTCCCCTGAATTAATTGCATTTACCAAATCTGAAGACAACCCATTCTAAAGGTCATCCATCCTTTTAGAAAAATATAGCTATTTCAGCTGAAGAAGACTTCTTCTTCCCCACCAAAATTTATAATTGTGTGCCCTAGTCTTGTCATCCTTGCCATTAAGTATGAAAAGAAGATAATGCATCAACACTATCATTTCCTTTAACAATCTTAAAAACCTCAATCAGATCACCTATAATTCTTCTTTTTCCAAGAGAAAACAGTTACAGAGATCTTGATGTATCCTTGTATGACAACCTTTCTATCCCAGGTATCATTCTAGTAGCCCTCCTCTGAACCCTTTCCAACAATTCAATGTTCTTTCTAAGGTAAGGAGCCCAAGACTAAACACACTACTCCAAATGTGGCCTAATCAATGACATTATAATCTTTCTAGGCTTGTATTCAATATATCTCTAGATACAACCTGAAATTCTATTTGCCTTGCCATTTGCAACAGCACATTGCTTGGATGACTAAAAGAGACTGATCAACCAGAATACTATGATCTTTTTCTTCCATAACTCTGTTAATGTTATTCCCATCAGAATTATACTCATAATTCAAAGTGTGATATCCCACATGCATGACCTTGCATTTATTATAATTAACAGCCATCTACCATTTATTCACTTAATTCACTAAGTAATCCAAATCCTTTTGTAATGCAGCAGCATCCTTCTCACAGCCAGCAACACCCAAACTTTAATATCATTAGTAAAATTAAATACTTTATATCAATATATCATCAGTATATCTACAAGCACAACTAACATACAAACATTTTTTTTTTAATTTTCTTAGGAAGATTTTCTGTGAATGAAAATTCAAGTTCAAATATATGTAAATCTGCAATTTGTAGGCTGAAGTTACCATCCATAGGTATTTCTTATATTTGCTGAAGGATGTTTGGGACGAACTGTACAAGTGTGTTGTCCAGTAAAGTGTATATAGTGTATAAATGCTATTTAATTGCTGGATTTAGCTCTTAATTTTTCAACTATATAGTTTCTTTGTCATGGTTGTCAACACATAGTGTTTTTAGTGTCAGTAGCTACACAAGTTTCAAAGTATTATAACAATTAAGAAGAGTAAATAAAGCTAGTAAGGAGGACACATTGCATGGAATATTATTCTTTTAAAAAGCACACATCTGCTATATTCAAGCAGGCCAATATTTAAACAATAAAAATAATATATTGTGCAACAAATCAGATATTTTACCAATCATAAAAGAATGAGGTGTTCCACTGGTGCCTTGAGGTGCAGTTCATAGAAATGAGGATATGCCAAACCATTCTGATGTTCAATATTGGAAAAGGAAAGCAGAAACAGAGGTAGATTGGAAAACCAGAAGTGCACCCTTCTCATGATTTAAACACAATATAAGTTAAAAGAACGTAAAGAGACTTCCACCAGAACAAGTAAAAAATTACACATTATCAAAAACTAGTAAAAAGAACAGTGTTACAATATACATGTATTTTACTTTATGTCTCCTTTTCTATTTATATAGAATGTTTTTGTCTTGTGAAACTGTGACTTTTTTTCAAAACAATGTATATGGAAGCTGTAACATAATATTTTTATTATGTTAAATGTTATTTTACACCTTCCTGCTACACTGTGGAACAAGGTTGCCAAGTTGTCAAGAACCTCAACTTTAAATATGTTGTCAGTCTTTATTGTAGTGTGACATGTATTAAACAACGGCAAGATAGTGATCTCAACATGTCTTAAGCTATTCTGCAGCCTTGAAAAAACAAGAAGACTTGCGATACAGTACATTACCTCTTTTCATGTATATATATAGCTATTCTTGTTCAGTGCTGCCCTCTATATGCAAAATTTTTTTTGCATGCCACAAGCCTTTCACTCCCACTTACCCACTGCATCTTTTAAGAAAATTGTCATGAGACAACCCTCCACAAATAGGAGTGTGACACAACCATCTTATGCATGTGGTTCCCTCTATTCGATTCTACTGAACTGTCACCTCTTGTTTGGCAGTGCTACAGTCAAGATGTGTTTTGCTTGTGCTATATTCATGGATTTTTTTGTTTATTAATATCATATGAAATGGAAAGATCATTTCTAAATTTTACTATTTCCAATTTTTTAGTTTCTGTGCAAACATCTGTTAGATATCCTTCTTTGTTATTTGAACAGCTTTCATAATTTCATCATTTTATGAGGAATATACTAAAGTTAATGTGATTACTTCAGAAGTTATACCACCTGCTCTTACCACACTTACACAGGCATCAGACCAGGGGAACTCAATTGAGGAATATTTGGCCTTTATTCGTCGGGATATTGTGCATTATTTGAGTTGACTTTCTTCTGATAGTGATCAACTTTCTCCTGAACAAGCTGAACTTGTTCATGTCAACAAAGAT